AATGTAAGTTAGCGTGGCTGCCTCCCAGGTGGCTTAGAGATAAGGAATCTTTCTGTCAATGCAGAAGATGTGGGCTTGACCCTTGAGTCAGGAAGAGCCCCTGGAGAAGGAAATGGCAACCCACTCCAGTATTCTTGCCTGGGAAATCCCATGCACAGAGGAGCCTGGTGGCCTACAGTCCATGGGGTCTCCAAGAGTCAGACACAACTGAGTGACTGCGCACACACCCAAGTTAATGTGATTTCTATATTAAGAAGTTAAAAGTCCTATGTACACAGATACCTTTGTTTTCAACTGAGATTTCATTTCTTTAAAAGTAAAATAGAACAGCAGGGTACTTTGGATTCTTAAATATTGAAGCATTACCAATCCAAGTAAGTCCCCAAATATGTCTGCCATCTATATATTATAGCAGCTCAGATATAACAGTGTTTTATAACACTGTTATAAAATAAAGTTAAAATAAATTAAAGTTAAAAAGTAAAATGTTTTATTTGCCAGAAGCTTCACATGTAATTATAGTGGAAGAAGGTAAAATGTGTGAAATAATCAACTGTTTCAAAGAGAACATGCCAGTGGTGTTTGTGACTGCTGGAAAAATAATAGAGGGATAATCCAATAGCACACTCAGATTTGTTTTCTTTCAAGTATTTATTTACATATGATCATACCTCAACCTTTGGAAATGCTTAATTTCTATTGATATATACAACTGCAGCAACCACTCATGGCCTTTAATTATCAATGAATAAGATTTAAATATTCATTTCATATTTTCTTGGTAGTCATTGCCTTTATAATTCAATTATAGTGAAACAGGCACCGGAGAACATTAGTACTGAAATTTCAGTGTTCTATGTAAGTGTTGACCTTAATACTAAAATTTCAGTGTTCTCCAATGTAAGTGTTAACCTTGATACTGAAATTTCAGTGTTCTCCTATGTAAGTGTTAAGTTGACTTGATTGAATTTGGAAATTCCATCATGAATTTTTTTGCTTAGGTAAAAAATTGTCCCTTGATTCATGTCAATAATAAATTCATTAAGGAACTAGGGATTCAAATCCTTTACCTGAAACAGGTGTGTTTCAGGACAGTTGCATGTGGGAAGCCTAAAATATCAATCTCTATTTTGAGTTTGACTAACCAATAAAATATAGGCATTTTTTCAAATAAATTTTTACTCTTTGAATCTTCAAAATATAAAAATAATCATTTCTGTTCCCTCTCAAGTCCTACCCTTTTCCTTTTTTTTGCCATCCCTTTTACAAAGATTTTCTAACATGTAAGTGAATTGACAAAGCATGTAAAGCATGTAGGTGATTTGGGGTCACAGTCATTTCATTCTGCTTGTTTGTAAACTATTTCAGTGAATAATATCTAATACATGCATTTGTTCATGGAGACTCTATACCTTGAAACTGGGGCTAAATGAAAGTGTTGATTTTCTTGGATTATATTTGACTTGAAGTTAGGGTCATATTCTTTTGCTTCTTCTCCACCTTTTATTATTCTTCTTCCCATGAGAAGTCTCAGACTGTCTCTCAAAGGGATAATAAGGAGAAAAGCAATCTTACCCTTTATGATAGTAACTTCTCAATGTTTTTTGAACATAGGATACAACCTGTCAGTTAGTTCTGAAATGAGTTTGGTGGGTCATGTCTAGCCTTTGTATTAATATACTTATAAGAAAGCATCATCAGAGTGTCTCAGAAGTAGAGATATTTTCCTGTTAAACAGATATTTCAATGTGTGAATATGTGTGTGTGTGTGTTTGTGTGCATGGGGCTGCATGAAAGCTATGGTTTCACTTTAGTTGTTGTGATCAGAAAACTCTAATCTCAAAGTTATAGTGAATATCTTACTCTAGCCACAGCAAGAATATCCATAGAGACATAATCTTTGCTCACTCAATCATGTTTGACTCTTTGTGACCCTTTGGACTAGAGCCTGCCAGGGTCCTCTGTTCATGAGATTTCCCAGGCAAGAATACTGGAGTGGGTTGCCATTTCCTCCTCCAGGGAATATTCCTGACCCAAGGACTGAACCCACGTCTCTTGTATCACCTGCATTACAGGCAGACTCTTTAGCAGCTAAGCCATACTGAAATGGGTCATAGAGAAATATCTGAACTTAAATACTTTGTTCAGAGCAGGCACTAATGCACCATACTTAGAAGACCTAGTCACTCCATTCTGTCAGACAAACTTCATGGATGATTATCTGAAATATTTGGCAGCAGATTTGCCCCGAGGGTGTAGACATACTGAAGATGGAAACCCCAAAGTGTACTGAACTCTGAAAACTATGCATAGGAGATAGAGTGAAGTGTTATGCAAGCCACTGGATTTCCTCATCTCAGGAATCCTCCAAACATCCTCATCCTTAGTGTCAGAATCATAACACCATGAATGAGGACAAGGCAGTTTTTCCCAGTCCTGAGCTAAATCAAACTTATTCCATGAATAAAAAGGCATATGGGGGAAATTGGATACTTTAAAAATATATCCCCCTTCTTGTAAAACTTGCTCTGTGTCTCCTAACAGTTGTGTCTCAATAATATACATTCATTTTCAGGAAGTCTTCTTGAACTAATTAAAAATAGGGGCTGGCACCTCTCTCTCTTTTATCTTAAAAACCTAAATCATTGTTTTCCTTGCATATAAAACTTTGCTTTCAATGTTTTTTTTTTTTAATGTCCACTTTTCCTTTTATCATTAATACTTAACTCTCATCATTTTCTTACTTACTTTAGCTGCTGCTGTGGTTAGGGATCATGTCTTAATTTACTTATTAGGGCATTTTAGACAGTTAAAAATGCATGTGGTGAAATTCTGTTTAGAACAGTGTCACCATTCTCTCAGAATTATGTATTTTATTTCCCCTAAAGGATTTTTAAAATATTTTTCTAAGTAGGATTTTCTGCTCCGTGTATTCCTAAATGAATTTTCTTCTAGACATCTGCACAAATGTGAACAGTAAAAATGAGTACTTGGCCATTTTCCTCTCTTGCTGCCTCCAAAATCCCTATTAGACTCCCCTCTTTGGAAGGCCAAAACAGCAATGCCTCTGAGTGTTTCTCCCCTAGGAGCCTTTTCCATTTCTTTCTGTGGAAGTCTAGAGAGACAAATGCGCTCTTAATGACTTGGCCTGCCACAGTCTCTGTCAGCAGCTTCCATTGCCCTTCTCCCTCACAAAGGCAGACCCCATTACACTGCTCACATTGGGGAGCGCACCTCTGCTGGGATTGGAGGGTCCCCTGGGCACAGCGCAGGCCCCGGTAGCCGTGTGTGCTTAGACGCATGTTCCACATTCACCGCCGGCCATAGTTCCATTTGGAGTGGGCCTAGCTAAACTAAAACACCTCTTCCTACTCTCCTGCTTCCCAGTGGTGAAGAACCTGCCTGCCAATGCAGGAGACATAAGAGACGCAGGTTCGGTCCCTGGCCAGGAAGATCCCCTAGAGGAGGGCATGGCAACCCACTCCAATGTTCTTGCCTGGGAAACCCCACGGACAGAGGAAGCTGGTGGGCTACAGTCCATGGGGTCACAAGGAGTCAGCTGTGGCTAAGGCGACTTAGCATGTGCACACTTACCCCCTACGCACGTTACCTTTTTCTTTTCTGTCCCCACATTTTGTACCCCATCTTCTGTCTTCAGGCCTCTCCCGTGTGTCTACATCCTAAATTCCTGAGGCTTCTAATCCACTTTCTCTTGTTAGACTCTTTCTAGTCTGCTTTATCGTCTAGACCTAAGAAAGAAAGCTGGAATAATCTGGAAATGGGTCAGTGTGGTGTCCATTTCGGGTATCATACCTGCATTTTTACAAAGATCTTTCTGGAAATAGAATATTAGTGGATTTTTGAGTAATCTGGTGGTACACTGTGGAAGTTTTAATCCGGAAAATGCCTTCTATCTTTCCTATTTCTTCTTTTACTGGATTCCATAAATATATATATTTTTTCTGTAATCGTCAAGTAATCCCTTGTAAATGTCTACCTCTTAATCCCATGTTTAAGACGGGTTTCTATATATTTATAAACTAATAGAGTAATTTTCTCCTCACACTGTAGTGAGGAAGAAAAAAAAATGACTTAAATAAGTGACTAGTTTGATTTAAAGAAAAAGTAAACACCTAACTTGACTTGGTTCTTGTGATGAATCATAGTACATACATTTATGTAGTGCTTACTACAAATCAGATATTTTACTTGTATTATTTTGTTTAACACTCATATGAGGTAGGTCATATTAGTATGCCCATATTATGTGTGAGTATCTGAGGCCACAAGGGCTAATCAGGATTCATACAGCTGACTGTGATGAAGTCAGGTTTTGCCATAATCTGTCAACGTATTGTATTCTGTAAAAAAGACAATAAAGTCTATTACAGATGGGGACACAACACAAGCTTTCATTGATTTGCAGATGCATACCAGCTTTGAAAACGAACACTAACCAAAGAGAGTCTGGCTTTTATTACAGAGAGTGATATAGAATGCTAATTCTTCCTTCTTTCTCTCTCTCCCTCTCCCTCACCTTCTCCCCACAAGCACCCCCTTATCCGTCCTCCCTCCCCTGTCTTCCTTTCTTGCCGTCTTGGCTGAACTGTTAGAGAGTGAAAAGTATGCCATTTTCTCTTCCCTTGTTCTCTCCCGCTTTCCCTCCCTCCCTTTTTCTGCCTTCCTTCCTTCCTTCCTTTCCTTCTTTTTTCCCCTAAATTCTTGGAGGCTGACAACACTCCTTCTCGCCTGTACACTTTGGTTTTCATTCCCAAAGTGAAATAACAACCATTTTAAACACAGTCTGCCTTATTCTTCAAGTTCCTTGATTCCTCAGGTTTCTATTCATTTCCCTGGGAAGTACACCAGGAATAGGAAGAAGAATAAGAAATGTCTGCCCTCAAGGGGTTCACCCTCAGGCAGATGGCGGAAAGAAAGGGTGGTGTTCAGAAGAGGTTGCCTTCTGTAAAGACCCGTGTGCTCTCTTGTCTTTGCACCAGGTACCATTTCTGTCAACACGCTGCGCACGCCCTACACCGCTCCTGGCGAGAGTGAGATTCTGGACCTGGATGATGAGTTGTACCTGGGGGGCTTGCCAGAAAATAAGGCTGGCCTCGTCTTCCCCACCGAGGTGTGGACTGCCCTGCTCAACTACGGCTACGTGGGCTGCATACGAGATCTGTTCATTGATGGCCAGAGCAAAGATATCCGGCAAATGGCTGAAGTTCAAAGCACTGCTGGCGTGAAGCCCTCCTGCTCGAGAGAAACAGCAAAACCGTGCCTTAGCAACCCCTGCAAAAACAGCGGCATGTGCAGGGATGGATGGAACAGATTTGTCTGCGATTGTTCCGGAACAGGCTATCTTGGCAGGTCCTGCGAGAGAGGTACGATTCCAAAATCCGAGCAGCCAGCTCCCCTGAGATGAAAAACGTATTCAATGTGGACCTCACACCTTAAATGACCATTGAAATGTAACATGTGCTCTGGGGAAGTAAACTCTGCAACCACAGATGCTTTACTGACAAGTCTGTATTGATTTTCAAAGGGCTTGATTCTGGGAATGCACGGCCCTTTAAGTATATCTCAAGAATACATAGTAAGGTCCTTTGCATCCTCGAGGGTATGGGCCTAAGATGTGTCATAGACAATCACTGTCTCTTTTGCCCAGTTTTTAATTTCCAGACACTAGAAAGTAAAAGAATCAATAAAACGAATGAATCCAGCATACTTTTGACCAATATGTAGGTCAAAAATAGCATTCAAAGCAAAATCTAAGCTGTAAGTTGCAACTTCCCTGACACTGAGCCTGTTCATTTTACTTTAGTTGACCTTCTCAAGGTTGAAATTTGAAGAGTAAGGTGATTTCAAACCATTTAAGTTACACCAGTATTTTCAGAAATGCACCCTAATTTCAGAGACACTTACCTTGGTCTAAGACCCAACTGATTACAGAAGGTTTCTTTACCAATTTGATATTAAGGCTTATTGTGTCTGGAAGCTCTGAGTGGGTGCCTCCGTTTCCTTCTCTAGCAGAAGGCAAAGCTACATTTTTTTTTTTTCTTTTCTTCTCCCATTAGAAGGAAAATAAGGGATAAATGAAAGTAAAGTGTGATAGCTGCCACTGCTCATCTAGAGGCCAGTCAAAAGGAAGAAATAGCAGAACAAATAGGTCTAAGTATGTTTTTTCATCGACCCAAGAGTTTAAAATAAATGCTTTAGTCACTATACTCATTGCCACTCATTTTCAACAATGGAACAAAAATCAATATGAAAAAATATTGACGAGTTATCCCATTGTCCTCTCATGTTCCAAATAACATTGCTCTCTTAGACATTAGCCTAAAGGAACCTGCCATCTATTTTTCAAGCCATACACATCTAGTCATTTTGCCTTTGCACTCCTGAAATAGTTTGATTTAGCTAAGCTGACACTTTCTAGAGAAAAAGTGGTTTTTTGGGGGCAAAATCTAAAGTTGAAATGTGGCTTTGATGCTTTATGTTAATGAGAGGGTTAAATCAGTTTATCAGTTCTATTGATAACATTAATCACTGTAACAATCAATAATCATAACCTAATAAGCTAATGATGATCTTAAATTACCCACCAAAATACTATCACTGTTCTGGATTTTACAATGAGATAGGTCTCTAGGTAGATACATATTTTAATCACATAGATTCATTCATTCTCCTAGTACCTAATTGTAATTCCTGTGAATAATCATTAGAGGTTAATTGTTTGTGCATAGTTTCATGTGTAAGGTGTATATTCTCTGTACATTTCCCCTTCTAATTTATTTGTTTGCATAGTGTAGTTTTTAGAAATTGCCCAAAGGAGCCAACAACAACAAAGTGACAAAGCTTGCAAGATAAATCATAGTTAAGTATAATGTGAGATTAGAAGACCTGTGTAATTTAAGACTCTGTTTTCATTTTAATCACTCGGAGAGCTGTCACTTATTCTGATGCCTCCTGCTTAAGTGAAGCTAGAAAAGGGTATAACTGAGCTATCAAACAAATTACAAAAAGCCTTCAGTTAAATATGCATGGTGTACCACCCTGTGGCAGTATTCCACTACTGCATATGACAGAAATAAGAAGAGAAATTCTAGAGCTCTCTAAACCAGAATGAGGGAAAGGAGCTATTTATATGTTGCTAATTAGAAGGAGGGGTGGCAAGCATATGCAGATTTGCAAATGAGAATTTAATAGCAAGTTTCATCACTGGGTTTCAACATACATTTTTAACTGACAAGTGGCTGAAAATTTCTTCAGATTTCTTTGTCTCCAGGTTCGTTGTGCATTGAGGAGAGAAAATAGTCATTTTTGTATGTTTTCTGTTTCTGGACTAACCAGTGTATTGCGAGAAGTCTTTGCTTTTCAGAATTAATTTTCTTGCTCAGATTATGGCATCTCCCAAGAACAAGAGTGAAGTGGGATGCTTGTCATGTTCACTGCCACAAAATTTGGCTGCTGTCCAGTTCCCAGCTCTGCCCTAGTTCAGTCAACACAAGATCATGTCCAGCCTTCAGGGTTTCCAGTTCCAAAGATAGTGCTTTGACTGTGGTTCTTCACATATACTCTGAACACATAAGGCTGTTGATCATGTAAGAGTTGACTGACAGCTCTTGAAATTTTTTTTAAAAAGGCATTTTCAAAGTTTCTGTTTTACAATTATTAAGCAATAAATGTTAATTTATAAAGAAGCATGTTCAAGTCCTTGGACAGTGCTCATGGGGAATGCTGTTTCAATCACATTATAGGAAATCTTCATTCTTCACTACGTAAGCAAAAGAGTTTATAAGAAAGATCAGAGTATTTGCTGACTTAGGCAAATAAGAAAATAGTATTTTGCTTGAATGTGTATTGATCCCATAAAGAAGAGTAGCATAGAAATCATGTCCAGTTGAATATAGATTGAATTCAGCACCTTCTCTCCTGCTTTACATTTTATAAAACTGAAAATTTGTGGAGACTGGTCATACAGAAAATATTTTTGGTTGTCTGTACATGGTATCATCAGAGGTCTACTTTATAGTTGTTTGTTAAAGCTCTACCAGATGGAGGGACAGATGTCAGAGCAATATAATTTGGCTTCCTGTCTGATTTTCATCGTTGATCACAATATGTGACTGCCTTTTGGTAAAACTGAGCACAGGTGTACACTTTAGACCCCAAGAAGAAATAACACAGAAAAGCAAATTTATCAAACTTAAGGACAAGGGGGAAGGAGACAGAGGAGACAAAGTTGAAACTTTTTCTCCCTTGTTGGGAAGTGCTATATTGAAATTAGCTTCTTAAAGAACTCTTTTGTGTTCTAAGTGGTAAATTAAGTTTACTAATGTTTAAAGAATGCAGCCAAATAGCATAACCTTCAAATGTCAGAATGTTGTTTACCATTTATTTGGCAGCTCTCAACTACAACCTTGTACATTTTCCATTTCTTGTCTAATTAAACGTTAACTCTAATTATGAGGAATCATTTAGGCATTCATTTGTCATTTATCAACAGGTTATTTTCACATTGAGAGTTGTTTAAAATGGCACTCAGAGGCACTCGAGTTTTATTACTTTACAGTTATTTCATTCCTGCAGCTTTTCAGAGAATATTAAAGGCCAATGATGCTGATTTTCTTTTTACTTGGGATTGGATTTCATACAGTATTTATGATCCCTTGTCAGTCATCTGTATTTCTGAAAGAATGTCCCCTCTACTTAATTTTTAATCAAATTAAGCTATCTTTCATACAAGAATGAGATAATTTTAAAAAATGATAGTTGAATAATAGAGACTAGATTTGCAGATTAAATAAGAGAAAAGTAAAAGTATGTTAGCCCTTGTATCTATATAACACCTAAGTAACTGAATTATTGATAATGGCTTTTAAATTTTTATTCAAATATATGTTGCTTTATAGATAGGGACAGTGATTGGCTGTAAATTAGGAAGGGGTATGGTAGAGATCAAGTGTCTTTAAGATTATACTAGAAGCAGTTTGTTGGTTTTTTTTTTCCTAATGTTTTTTGCAACTTCACAGTCGTGCTTTATTTTTTGAGCAAATCCTACTAGATTTTCTTTAGGGAAACCTTATTGGAAAAATATGATGCATTAGTAGATATGTGATATGATGTAAAACCACCACATTTTAAGGGGATTATATTTTATCTTCTCAGTGCTTAGGTCAGTGCTGAGCCATGAGATCTCTATTTTGGTAAACAGACACCTCTCATAGAATGTCTTTTATGACATTATTGTGGCTTCCAACGTAGACTTTAAGGAATATTTTGTTCATATACATCACCGAAATTAGATTCACTTATAATAGACAGAATAAATACTTAAATCTCATTAGTGAGTATTTACATATACATGATATCCAAATTGAAACAAGCTCTTTCACATACCTTCAGTGTCAAGTCCAGTCGTTAATTCGGTCAATGTTTATCAAGGCTCTGCTGTGTGTCAGGTGCACTTGGCTGATGAGAGAGAGGACTCAGCCGCTGCTGTAATGATATGTATACAAAAGGCCAAGGACAGATTGCAGACAAATAAGAAATGGTAATTTAAAGAATGCTAGGTAGACATAGAATAACTGGAGGGAGAACTAAACGAGTGCTTGCAACAGGTATGTCTGGAGTACATTTGAACAGAAATCTGAATGCTGAAGGAACCAGCCATATAAAGATCTGGGGTGGAAACCTGTTAAGACAGAACGTGCCTCAAGTGCAAATACTTGAATGAGAGATGAAATCAGTGTGGCTGGAATCTACTAAACAAGGGAGGACATGCTAAAAGCTGTGGTTGAGAGATGGACTGGGGCTGATTCACACAAAATGTTGTAGGTTAATACAAGGAATACAGATTTTATTTGAACTACAGTGGTGGGAATCTATTGATGAAGGGTAGGGAGGTGAAGGATTAGGGGTGGGTGGGGTGGATGTGCCTAGATGAAGTAATGAAGTGATATGATCAGATTGGCTTCTTTAAAAGTTTAGCTTGGCCACTATGTGTAGGGAGAAATAGTAGAAGTAGGGAGGCCATTGAGGGAGCTATCCTTACTGATCTACGTGAGACATGGGAGCAGAGTCTGATGTACTGCATTGGCACAAACTGATTGATTCAGAAGGTGGATTGGAATTAGAACCTACAAGACTTGCAGATTTGCAAACAGATTGGACATGGCAGAGAGGGTAAGAAAGAAAGCAGAAAGGTTAAGATCTGAGTAATGGTGTTAAGCCATTTACAGAGATGGAAAACGCTGGAGCAGGAGCATGTTCATTGGAGCAGGAGAATTTGTTCATTATTGGTGTGTGTATCTTATTCAAATTGGAGATGTCAAATAAGCAATGGCTGATGGATGTTTGAGGGAGCTCAGGAGAGAAGTCAGGGCTGTCTATAAGTATTAGGGGAGTGAGCATGTGAGTTGACCCAGATCCCTTAAGAGGTAGAGAGAAGAGAACGGTCCTAAGCAGGGAGCTCTGGAACCCTTACTGCTTCTTGATGTGCATTCAAGCCTGAGATGATACCTAGTGATTGAAGTCTGTTAGAAGCAATACTTGATTTTCCTGATTTTGAGAAGATAATCTTGCAAAACCACAGCTCCAAAATATAATCTTAATAATAGGCATGGTTGTATCACTAAAGTTAATTACTGTCAATAGGCAAGAGAATGAGAACATCCTAGCTGGTTTTAATTTCAGGTAATTTTTCTTTTATTAAATGGTATCCTGAGTTATCAGAACCCATGAAAAAGCAACATAATTCATACTTGTTTCACAGTGTTCCACAACCATATGGTGTTTAACATGAAGGGGTGCTGACTATTTCTTAAGGCATTCAGTTTGAGATCAACAGTTTTGCTCTTTGCCTCTCTTTGTGTTTCATGCAAAATTAAGCAACTTCTCCATTAAAGCCATCTACTTTTCTTTAGTAGCACACACCCATACAAGCTATTCACTCCCACCCCCATCCTCAGTTATTGACTTTTTGGCGATAGCTTAATTTTTTCAGGACACCAGGGTGGTGCTTACAGGTAATGCTTTAAGTTACCCCTTATCTGCAAATGAACTTTAATATGAAGTTACAGTTTGTGTCTTTGTGAAAATGAATTACCTTGTTCACCCCAGTGACTCAGAACATGTATTACCTGTTGTTTGGTAATATCAATTTTTCTTCAGTTTCTGAACAGCACCTTTGGAAAAGTGTTGACTTGATTCCTGTATTTAAGTCATAATTGTAGTGTTTCTTTTTTGATTGTATTAGGGCACAAATTATTTTTTAAAAATGATAAAAGTAACTTTCCTTAGAATCATGGGCTTTTGAGGTAGGAAGAAGCCTTAGAGATGCTCTAGTAGCACTCTCTCATTTTGCAATTGAAGGATTCGAGCCAAGTTTAATTTCACAGAGCTGATCAGTGGCCTAGCCATATAGAAATAAGCATAAATAGTAGCTAGTACTTCAAGCCAGGCTTGCATTATGGTTGCGCGCGCACACACGCACACACACAATATAAACTCTGCTCTTGAGAAAAGATATGCATCCATGAACATGGATAATCCTACATGATGAATCCTATAGATAGAAGTTGTTTTAGGTACAGAAAGGGAAGTGCAGCCACCTCTGTTTTTAGACTTTAACAGATTCTTCACCTGTGACTTATCTTTCCAGTTAAAAAAAAAAAAAATTTGCTCATTTTGGAAGAAGATGAGCCGAATTTGTATCTTGTCTTCTATATGGAAACCTTTAATAGGTCATGCTTTTCCTTTTCAAAGTTTTTATGTACTAAACTGACGCAGAGCTTTTATGTTTATTTCCCAACTGTAGAAGCAACGGTTCTGAGCTATGATGGGAGTATGTTTATGAAAATCCAGCTCCCGGTGGTAATGCACACGGAGGCTGAGGATGTGTCCTTGCGGTTTCGATCCCAGCGTGCATATGGTATCCTCATGGCAACCACCTCCAGAGACTCAGCAGACACCCTCCGCCTGGAGCTGGACGCAGGGCGTGTGAAACTGACGGTCAACCTAGGTAACAACTCGCCTTCCCCCATTGAACTAACACTTCTCACCTTTTGTTCAGTTTTGCCTGCAAACATTTATCGAGTAGCCTGTTTGCCATGGAAAGTTAAAACACTTAATAGTCTCATCTCCATTATTTAAATTCATTTAGGTTTTGGGGACATCTTTTTATTGTTTTTATATTGTTTATCATAATTTACTGTTTTGTGGTTCCTTCCACTGAGGGTTCTTAAAAGGGAAGCCATGTGCATTAATGAGATTAATTGAAAATACAAATTATTACACTTGATGATGGCTCAAACTGAATTTCCTATTTTTACATTGACTGACATTCTGATTGGTTATAGATAAAATCCTTTCAGATAAAATAAAAATCCACCAACTTTGATTTGGATAGCACATGCTACAAAATGTCAAATATCTAGTTTGTGATCTAAATCAACAGTCGCTCTTTATCTATCCTTGGGCTTCTCCTTTGAACAGTTACCTTCGTGGTATCCCATCTTTTCTGTTTGGAAATACTGTGTGGTGATATTTTGCTATCAAACAACAATCCACAACCCTTCAATGCCCAAAGTCTGCGGCCCTTAGCAAGCAGCCATGAGAACACTAAAAACACAGACTCTTCCACAGAAAAATAATGCTTTCCTGCTTAATTGTAGCATTCAGAAAGAGTCACTACAGTAAAACCTCACCAAACTGGATAAAATCTAGGGGAAAATCAGGCCGAATTAAGAAAAAGTATGAACTGTAGACAAAAAAAATGTAAGCATGTTTGTTTTCAAATACATTCAAAAACACAAATTAGTAGCTCAAAAAATCTTAAGGAAAGGTCTTACAAGGCTAATGTTAATGGGTGGTTAAGAATTATCCATAATTAGCACATTGTTTCACAGAAGTTGCTCCATCAGTGACTTGAAATCAGTTTTCTTTCCAAACTTGGCCTTTCACAATTTGTTTCATTTTTCTCAGACAATCTCTGCTCATAGCGAATGAAGAATTACAAATGTTCTGCCCAATAAGTTTCAATATTATAATTAACTCCAAATAATAGGAGTACAAATTAATGAGGTTTTACTGTATTTCCTGGAAGTACTGAACACACACAATAATGAATAAGCAGAAAGAGAAAAATAAAATTGAAGACTACATAGATTCACAAAAAGTGTAGCAAAATGTGATGAGGTGTGGCATTTGTGAAAACCCCACGTATATCAGACTGTGCTGGGCAGAATAGCAGCTCATAAAATATAAAATTATTTCATTAGTAGTTTCTTGCATACAATTGCATTCAATTAATAGTAAGTTAAAAAGTCAAATAATAAGGTTGTTTTTCTTTTTACCGAAGAACACATAGTATTTTTTTACTCTTCTGTTAGAGTTCCCTCTAGTGACATGATAGGTTACTACAAGCCCATCAAAATTGCCTAGTTTCAGTAAAGGGGCTGTTAGCCGCAGGAGGTGAACACACTCATGGGAATTTTCTAACAGCAAAGCATTCTGTGGAAAGAGTTGTGTAGATGCTGATCCTTGGCTGTTTGCAACCACTTTTCTGATGCGGTTGACGACACATGACAAACTCAGCTATATGGAAACAGAATCTAGGTTTGTATTTTTCATGTTCCCCAAAGGCATTAAATACAACAACCAAATCCAACAAATATTTATCTACATATAGAATAAACATGAAACACCCCACATGGTCCTTTAAAGATAACCCTTATAATTATAATCTATGCTATTCAGATCAAATATTCCATTCTTGGGGAATCTGCTTTTATGTAAGAAGAAAGTTTAAGAAAAGAAAAGTCAATAGCAGTAATAACCATGAAACTTATTACATAGAGATAACATAGTTAGCTCCTAACAGAGGAATAGGCCTGTGTGCTCCCCGGAATGACACTACTCCTTACCACTAGAGGTTCTAAAGGAAACAAAGTGTTTATTTCCTTCTCCAATTAATACAAGGCTTGGAATCCAGCTAATGTCTGGCTGTTACCTTTTTTGTCCAAGCAAGTAATAATAAGAACAGCAGCAACAATGATAATAAATACATTAGAGTGAAATGAGAATAATTTCAACTAGCTCTCCATTTGACCACCACAATTCTAAAGCATTCTGTTGGCCTTTGCGGGATAATAGATTTTGGAGGTCCAAGATGTCTGAGCCTAGCTGAGCTTGCACTGTTCCCCATTGTGACGGAGCACTTTTTAATTAAATTGAAAACAATGATTTGTTCTTTCACAGATGGGGAGAAAGCTGCAGCCAGTCTAAGCCAAGCATCTTTGACAGTTAACAGTTCTTTATTTCACTTAGATTTGTCACCATGTAGCTTTGTTTGATTTGGCCATTTTTTTTAAAAAAATTCTTCTCCCGTTGTTTCCAATGGTGAAGCTTTATAACAAAGAATCTGGGTTCTAGAAGTATGTAAAGAATAAATGATATGGAGTGGCCATATTTGCATGTGTCTGTCCCCGGAAGGGTGGACTGTGATTTTATTGGATGTCTGCAGCTATTACCTTGAAGGATAAATTTTCATTTTTCATCTATTCTTCCCCATCTAGATTGTATCAGGATTAACTGTAATTCCAGTAAGTGCCTATTCAAAATTTTTAAAATGTTATTCCTCCATTATGATGTAGCTAGTGAAGAAAAACAAAAGAGACAGCAAGAGAAAGTTGTTTATAAACCTCATGAGTTCACTTTTGAAATATACCAGTCCATCATCTGGGTTGTAAAAATTCATTTTGAAATCTGTCCAGCTGAAGACGTTCCTGCTGCAGTTTCTACCTCTAAGTGGGAAAAAGAGGTGAGAAATATCCTGTAAGAGAAGGTACCAACACCTCTGTAGACCTGTGGATAAAGCTGACAGCATTTGTATTTTGGTAAATCTTGGACTCTAGTAGTTCCCTTCATAACCAAATTAGGATAAAATGCTGTGGGTCTTAATTTCCTTCACTTTCTGTTTTTATCTCTTAAACATAGAAAAAAAAAATCCTTTCATTTGAAAGTTACTATTGAACTCTTCTAAATTCAACTAAAGTTTTACATTGAATAATGTGTTTTTCCAAGTTTTATATATATATATGTACATATATATATGTATATATATATGTATACAGAATATGACTTATCTAAAGAGTTTTTCTGGTTTACTGAGAGTATTTACATAATGAATTTTTACATCCTAATCATATATCTGCAAAAATAACCAAAACCGTTCAAATCTGTGATATGCATGCCAAGTGATGAGATAGAAAAGATGCATGGACTGAGTTTTTTTTTAATTTGGACTAGAGAACTTGAAAGGATGTAAGGACTGTGATTTTATTTTGAGTTGTAGCATTATCTTGAGTGAATTTATTTATTTACATAAATATTTAGGTTTTTCTTTTCCAGGTTTTGCTGACCACATTAAGGAATTTCCTCCAATATAAAAAAGTTGTTAGCTATTTAACTAAAATGGTTCTAACAAGCTTCTAATCTTTCATTGTCCTATTCAGTAAAATATATTTTGTTTATGTCCTTGGAAAATGCTGAATGTGAGTTGATGGAAGTCACTCCCAAAACCTTTGGCTGTGTATCCAGTAAGTCATCCTCTAAGGAACAAAATGGTGGTCTTCAGCTTACAAAAGCAATAAGTTTATAAAGCATGCTTCTGATAACTCAGATTTGTCTTTAAAATACTTAATATTCATTTTAAAGGAGCATAAAAGACTGTTTTTCCAATCATAACAATAAAAAGGTAACAGAATCATGATTGGTGGGGAAAAAAATATTAAGCTGTTAAACTGTCATATACGGCATTAAAACGGAGAAGGCAATGGCACCCCACTCCAGTCCTCTTGCCTGGACAATCACATGGGTGGAGGAGCCTAGTAGGCTGCAGTCCATGGGGTTGTGAAGAGTCGGACACGACTGAGCGACTTCATTTTCACTCTTCACTTTCATGCATTGGAGAAGGCAATGGCAACCCACTCCAGTGCTCTTGCCTGGAGAATCCCAGGGACGGGGGAGCCTGGTGGGCTGCCCTCTATGGGGTCGCAGAGTCGGACACGACTGGAGTGACTTAGCAGCAGCAGCAAAGCATTAAAACCATCTCAAACAGACTCTAGTTCCTGAGCTAATCTCTCAGAGCTCTCATACAAGTGGAATTTTTTCAAATATTCATCATCTCCTTTTAAACTGTGTCTCTACCACACTCTGAAAAGAAGCACAGGTTTACCAATCTGATATCATGATCCAGCTTGCTTTCACCTCTGGATCCTAAATACAGACAAAGTAACAACCCACAAAACCTGTAGATGTTCTCAATGCTTCCTGGATCTTAGAAAATCCATGTGAGGGAAACTATTCTTTCTAAACTTCTGCTTTATTTTTATTTATATTAGATGGGTTTTTAGATTTACAAAATGTGGCTACATAAACTCTAGTATTTAATGGAAATTGCCCCATCAAATGTGCTTCTGTGTTCTCTAGCTCTATCATTTTAAAATACACGTTTATGGCCTAATTACCCTTGTTAGATATTTCTCTTTATTTGGCTCATTATTATAAGACTGATACTAAGTATAATATTTTCTCTAGATATTTCACAGAATAATACTTTTGAGGACAAAGTTCTTTGATGGTTATTGGATTTTTCCCCCTTTTTAAAGATAATATCTTACCCTTAATTTTACTTGAATTAAACCAATGATTATGAGCTTACAGTGCATACTGCGGACAGGACTGCAAATGCCTTAACTTGACAGCAGTCACTGGAAAGAACATTCAGTGATCAGGTAATGTTTTTATTTCCTTTGCCTTTGTTTTATATGGAGAATAATGGGCAGATATACCCAGAATTCCAAGTTCCATCAAGAAATCATGTAATTACTTAACTTTGAGGATAGGGAGGAATTTACATTTTAATAATGCAAATCTAACTCACAGTGATTAAATAAGCAGAGATTTCCACCTGGACTGTATTTCATACTCATAATGATATATAAATAAACTACTTGTTTCTCACTATTACTTGTAGTTTAATGAAAGACTAGTTTATTACATTTATCCTCTGCAAGCCATGAGTTTGTCTGAAACTGAAATGTACATTTACTAACTCACAATTTATACCACCACCATCTAACAATTATACCCCACCTAAGATATCAACTGTGTTGTGAGCTTAACATGCAATACCTCAGTTGATATCTTTAAGACAATTTCCGCAGGAAATATACATATGGTAACAAAAATTATCATACTTTGAGAATTAATAGTAAATGATAAATCATTAATTTTGAATGGGAATCTCTCATTTCTCTACACTTATACAGAGTTGCTCTGCTGTTTCCTATAGTCACTCCATCCTTCTTATTCCTCCTTTCCCTCACTTTATGGCAGGTGTTACTACATATGGAAAAGAAAATACATATATCATCTGATTCTCCGATCTTTGCTACTGAAGAATGGGTAGTAGGTGAGGAGGTAGGAAGGTCTAGCTGTGTTGTGTGTATTCAGACCTGTAGGACTAAAAGATGGCAGAGATATTTCTTTTTCAGTCCCTGTGTCATTAGTTTAGATGCAGCAATGCACTCTTCTACAGACAGGCCCAGCAAAGTCTTTTGTTAAGGTTCTTTTGAGAAGAGGCTGATTTGAATTTCAGGAACCATCTCTGTCAAACTCTTTGTTGCCACCATCCCTCCCTCCCCTAATAGGAAGAGCTGTCAAGAATTTTTAAATGGAAGGAAATAGCCCATTTTTATTTAAAAATAAAAAGCTTATTTTCATGTGTGGAGAGGATTTTTTTTTTTAAAGAAGCATCTCTGTGAATAACAGTCATGTCAGTGTCAAAATGTATGCTTTGATCTCTCTGATTACAATTGGAATGTCTCTGCACGCAATCCCAGACCAGACTCAGTTCTTTGATGTCCATTAGCTTATTTCATTGCTAAGATATGTTTGTTATCTACAGCTTGGTATTAGATTAGGTCAGTATTTGAAAATTTATGGAGAAGAAGGCAAACACAGAAGTGTATTATATCTACAGCCCTCCATTCTCGTCTGTCCAGGATAGTCAGATTATTCTTGGCTTTTCAGTCAACTCCAATAAGGAGAACCACAATGTGCCATCATAAAATAATTTTCTATGGAAGTTGCTAAAAGAACCACCATCTTTTAGTGCAGATAATGTCTCCCCTGGACTGTGAAACTTACTTCAATAAAGGTAGATGGGAAAGGACTGTAGAGTCACATTCTTTTAACATAAAGAACAATTATTTGATTAATGAAAAAAAGGACTGGTTATAGATGATTTTACAAAAACAGTTATATATTATAGAGATATACACTAATACCAAGTTATTACTAAAAGAGGCCAAGTCGGACAGAATAGTGCTTTGTGACTAGCACATTAATCATCTGCATGAAAAGTGAGTGTCTGGGGGTCTCTTGACTGACCCATAGTGTTAATTGACCTAAGTGTTTTAAAAAGTGTAAAGAGTGCAAAAGAAAATTTCTACTCCCTATGAAATTTTCTCAAATGTGTTATTAGTAGAGTCTGTAGTATTATTATAACAGAAATGACATTGGTTTTATCTTGCATTCTCTTTGCCAAAGGATGTAGCTTGAGATAAAGTGACCAAGAGAGTCTCAGTTTCAAACTTGCTGCCCAATTATCAATACATCCAAAGTCATTAGGCTATGTGTTTCTTTTTTGTCCTGATAATTTGGCATCTGTAGTGGTACATTGCATGTCTTAATAGTCTCAGGTGTTTTTTTTGTTTTTTTGTTTTTTTCTCTTCTTTTAGTAACCTTGCAAGTTGTTAGTGTTATAATCTTTGAAGGTTTAAATACATTGAAAATTCGAAAACTAAACTTGCTCCTATCAACTATAAGTGACTTCTAGTTGTCATATAAATAACTACTTTAAATATGTAGCAGGTGCAAAGAGGATTTTGTGATTTTTGTTTTTGTTAGTGTTGTCTTTCCCTTTTTTATTGTCTTTTCAAGTCAATGACATAATTATGGAATATCCTTCTTGCCCACAGGAAGGTTTGTGGGCACCTCTGAATTAATATAAGTGTGCATTTTAATAAAACCATGATATTTGATGTTTATTTTGCTTGTTTATTTATTTTTGCTTATTTAATCCTTATACATTGGTCTCTTCTGCCCACCTGCTCTTTCTTCCTACCAAGATTTACTCATCTTACTTCTCCGTTTCCAATGTTGTTTTCTCTTGTTCTCCTTCTTGTTTTCTTACAAAAATAAAAAGCTCTATGGGGTGAAAAAAGATATCCCAGTAGGCAGAACTTCCAACTATGTTTGGCTTCTTACAGAAAATGATTTATTTAAGACACAGAGATAATAAAATTGGAGATGGTGTTAATGTGGGCAGAGTGTTAAGGGTTGAAGTTCAGCTTCTTTTTTTGGCAGTTAATTGTCTAAGGATTGCAAAGAAAAAAAAATCTAAGGCCAAGTACTTAACCTCACTTTTGACTTGGATATAGTGAAGAAATGCCCTGAGTAATATGGTATTGGAAAATGTACTATGATGGATGCCCAGAGTAGATAATAAGATATTTGTATTATGATTTTATTACCA